TATATATATATATATATATAATTTTTACAGCAGTTATATAGTGTCATTTTTTTTTCTTTTTTATAATATAGACTTCTAAGGTGCATAAGGGGAATAATAAAAGAGAGTCACTTTGGTAGACAAGTTCCAAAATAACTTCTACAAAACCATATTTCACCCACTTTAATATGAATTATTCCCTCCATCGTACATTATGACGCCTTTTCTTAACAAAATAGAGTTTTTAACTTTTGATTTTGAGTTATAATGTACTACTTCTCTCACTTATACTAGTAAAATGGTCTATTACACATGTTTTCCTCAATCTCTTAGCGCTCCTCTATATTGAGAGAATAATTCTTTTGGTCCCGTCGGTGGGACCGATGAACCACGCGATCCGATTAGATGCGTCGAACAGAGGGCTCGTAATCTCTTTGATTAATCACCTACTAAAGGGGTAAGTCTGACTCCATTAAACGTACTTCGATTTTTTGGTGTCAATAGTGCACAATTTTTATTTTTTTTAAGTTTTTAACTATAAATTTTATTTTTAAACTAAAAGTGGACGAATTTTCACCTTATACACTAGTTTTATTATTTTGTATAACAATTAATAAATATATTGCTTGTTCTGTTGTTATACAATTCATAACTTTCAACTAACTTCACTTATGAAATTAAGTATTTAAGAGAAAAATGGTAAAGACAAGTCTAAACAATACATGAAGTATTGTGTATATTTAAAACAATAGGTAAAATATGTTACTCGCTAGAACTTAAAGAGAAGTACTGTGTATTATCTATTTATCTCTAAGTATTATTTAGGTAATATGCAAAAGTTAACTTTCTAAGAGGTTAAAGTCTACATTCTTGAAAGTACTACATATTTTATTGGTAAAGATGTGGCTATTAGTACAATAAAATAAACTTGTGGGCGAACAACATTAGGTGTTTTCTTTCCATTTATCCGCGCCATGGTGGATAGAGTTACCTGGTACATGTTGTTGGTGGGAGGTAGCATGCAAAATTAGTTAAGGTGTTGCTGATGAAAAGGTGGCAGATATCTCGTAGAATTAGTCGAGATGCCCGCAAGCTCGAACACCTCGGTTATAAAAAAAGAAAGTAATATAAAATAAATCTTCCCACCAATAAATAAAAATATACAAGTAGCTGGAAGACTAGTTTTGACCAATTGAAGGAACTCTTCAAGTCAAAGTCCAAGGTACCAAAACATTTGACCACATGTTAAATGTGAATTTCATTTATATATGCTAAAATTCCGCCTCACCCTCTCAAACTCTGTCAAATATATAACCGTTAGAATAACTAATTTTTAAAATTCCCGGCAAGCCATGGAAGAGTTCTTTCAAGTTCAATCTTCACAAGCCAATAATGGAGAGGTTTTATGGTTCGAAAATGAAGCTTTTTTGGTAAATCAAAGTGCTTTTGTGAGTTTTAGAAACCAATCCATTGAAGGATTTGGAGTTTCTGGCTATGGAAATGTATCGGCGAATCATCGGAACATGAACAAGAGGATGATGGAGTTCTTGAAAAAGAGTTGGAGTCCTAAAATTGGAGAAGTGAAAATGGAAAGAGAGAAAGTGCATAAACATATGATTAAAGAGAGGATTAGAAGGGAAAAGCAAAAGCAAAGTTATTTGGATTTGCATAAATTGCTCCCTATGGGAACCAAGGTTAGTACATTTCCATACCTATAGGTCACTTGTTCGAGCCGTAGAAGCAGTCAGTAATACTTGTAATCACATCCTTGAGGTGCGGCCCTTCTTCGGACTTTGTGTGAACACGGAATGCTTTGTCATCCGGGCTGCTATTTCAAACTTTTTGGTCTTGTTATATATATTACATATATCTTGGTTCCAATATTTTCTTCCTTTTATTCAAGTATCCAATATTTTGGATGCCCACTATAAGAGTTTTAGTGCTCCCTAACTCAATTTCAGTGGTCAAACCGGAGACCTCTGTATATTTCTCTTCTTAAGGTTATAATTCTTCTTAATAATTTTTCCCAAAAAGAAAGAAAGAAAAAAGAGCCATACAATTTTTACCACTCTTTGCATTGGAATTTGATCAAAATCTTTGTGTGAAGGTCAAGTTGACAAGTTCCCAGAGTTACATTGGACAAGATTAATTCTTTTTCTACAAAAAAAAAAAAAAAAAAAAAAAAAAAAAAAAAATGGATATTCATAACTAAATTATAACTGGTATTTTTCACATAAAATGGAAAAGTACATTTTAGAATATGATGAGGATGTGATTGCAGGGTGAGAAGAATGCTATAGTCCAAACAGCAGCAAGCAGAATTCAAGAGCTGCAAAAATACAAGGGAAGTTTAAAGAAGAGAAATGATGAACTTCAAATGATTTTAGCAGACAGTAAAAAGGAGGAATTTGAGAAGGCTAAAATCAAAGTAAAAATTAATTATCCAATTTCTGGGGTGGATTCAATGCTAGAGGTTCTCAAGTGTTTGAAGAATTGTGGAACAAAAGCAAATGCAATACAATCAAGTTTTTCTCAGCAAGAATTCTCCTCCATTCTAGAAATAGAAACTAAGGTTAGTGTACTTATCTCCTTGCCACATGAAAATAATGTTGTGTGTTAAGACCATTAATTTGAGTTATAGCTTAATAAAAAAGTGTTTATCTTACATACTAGAGGTACAAAGTTTGATTCTTGTCAAATCTTATTTCAAATAACTTTTAGTAGGGAGCACCTTGGCAATTTTTGTGGAGCTACATTGCTCGAATTTGAATTAGTCAGATCAGTAAGTTTCAGATAGCAAATATCTACAAGAAAATATAATATCCTAAAAGGAAATTTGTGATACCCTTGGGCGGAACTACCGTTCAACTTATGAGATCGGCAGAACTTAGTAGCATCCATACTCTTTATTTTTTTTTAAGACATTCACTTAATATGTATAAATAATTATCTAGAATCCAGTAAGATATTTTTTCTAGAATTTAGAACTCATAAACTTAAAATTCTAATTCCGCGTCCTATGATATTCTCCTACTACCCTGGGGCTAGTTCCACCCACCCACCAAAAGAGAAAAGAAGTTAGCTCTTGTTTCTTTTCCATATCTTTTTAAATGTTGGCTAAGTTGTCTCTTTCATTGATTTAATCATGTGACTAATTATGGTCAATTTGTGATAGATTGGAGCAGCAGAGGTGGAAAAAGCAGTGCAAAATACTCTATTTGAAACTGAAAGGAACTTTCGTGCACACCAGTTGCCAATGACTTGGCTAGCTTCAGCCACAGAATGATGCAACTTGTGATGTGAAAGAAAATTTTGATGTCCGAGGTTGACCAGTTCATATATATACAAAAACTTGTAATCTGGAAAAAGCACCTTCGTCCCTTCTTCCTTTTTCGTTTACCTTTCAATCTTGTTGTTACACGGGCTTTAACAAAGAAAGATCACGAACAAGTTAAAGATATTTGTAGCTATAAAAACTTCTCATTAAAGGTAAAGTATATAATGCAAAACTCGGTGAAATAAATATACCAAAGAGCTCAACTTCCATTTCCAATTCCTCGTCGTGTTAGCCTTGTTACTAATATTAGTCGAGTAGACCAATCTAGCAATTTATTCAATACCACAACCACAAGTGCAACTTTGCAAATGAATTGGGAAAGAATGGCCTCTTTTAATTCCCTTTTCTTTTGTTTGATCTTCCTCGTCAAGCCATTCTAGGTTAAATAAACTGCTGAAATCATAATAGAGTATTCTGTCACTCATAAGCTGCAAGGAGATTTGGATTTAACATCAAGATAGACATATTTACAGCACTCAATGCACATATTTCAGTTACTTTGACTATATTACTTGTCCAAAACTCTGGGACATCATTAGGACGGGCCCATACTCTGCAAATCAAATATGACGATATTCATGATTTAAAAAATGCCAAATCCATTTTGATGTTTCAGGAAAACACTAGTCTTACGAACTAAACAGTAATAACACTTGGTCTCACATCAAAATTGTTGTACGAAATAGTTCAGACAAGGCTAGAACAGAAGCAAAAGTAGACATTGGCGCCCAAATCACTTGAGTTGTATGAACCTTGATGAGTGAGTAGCACCAATACCAGGTCTACCAAGCTTGACAGGCTTATATGAGATAGAGAACTCGGCCAGATCACTTGAGTGGTATAAACCTTGACGAATGAGTAGCACCAATACCAGGTCTACCGTGCTTGACAGGCTTATATGAGATAGAAAACTCAGCCAAATAGTGGCCAATCATCTCAGGCTTGACTTCAATCTGATTGAAAGTCTTTCCATTATAAATTCCAATAACACTTCCAATCATTTCAGGAACGATAATCATGTTCCTCAGGTGAGTCTTGACAGGCTCTGGCTTTTCACCTGGTGGAGCCTCGCGTTTCTGCATAAAGATGCTGCTATGAGTAGGTGCCGGTGAAAAAGAATTAAGACAATAAGAATATCTGCTGAGAGAAAACAAACACCAACAGAACATGGAGGCATCAACAAAAAGGTTAGCGCAATAAACCACGAAACTATACCTTTCAAGTAACTTGGAGCAGCATACTAGACACTGAATCCTCTAAAACCTACTAATACACGCTATCACTCATGAGTAATGAGTGTGCGCCCCTTAGTGCCTTGCCCACACTTAAGCGCAGCTTAAGCGAGGCGAAAAACCCTCCCCAAGCTTTTCTGAGCTTCACGGCTTAAGCGCGCCTTAAATGAGCTATCACCAGAAAACACAGTATAACTTTGGATATAAAAGCTCATATTTGCCCACAACAAGACAATCTTTGTCTACATAAGCAATATAATCATAACACTAACAAATGTAGGTCAGGTTTTCAATCAAAAAGATTGTTGGCTGCCTTTCATCCTAGTCGCGTTATGCACAACTCAATTAACAGTCAACAGAGTTCAGCGCCAAGTTAGCTATTCCACTAATAAAGTCAGCCAATCGAATTTAATATCGCACACCTACAATGCCTCAATCCTAAATCTTGAAACAAGAGATAAGATGGAGAATATTAAGATATTTTAACGTTAACCAGTAAGGCTGATGAAGATCTAAACTAAATTGTTTAGTAAATTCAACATTGTATCAATTCACCTTGAGTAAAGCATCCATCATACACTTAGAAGACCAAAATGAGAAATTTAGCTTTCATTAACTACACAGCTCAAACTTGGAGCTGCATGGGTCTTCGGGATGGATACCAAAATTGATAAAAGCCAAATAACATGTTAAGTGGGCAAGATTGCAACAAGAACTAAAAAATGCAGTATATTCATATAGGCAAAAACCTTATCTTCTCAATATATGATGTTCATATAGTGTCAGTGTGTCACTCAAAGTCTCAAATGACACAAAATATACAAACCTTCTATGACAGATCAAGTTAAATAAGCAAGGTGTAATGACGGTTGTCAATATACTACGATGACTTCAAATAGACTGAATTCAGCATTGTAAGAGATGCCTCATAAAATACTAAGTCATGTAGCAAATGTTACAAAAGCAATAGGCATCACAAGGCAAATAGAATATTATTAACAGACTGATGCATTCATACTACAAAACTGATGATGCTTTTAAAATAAATAAATAAAAATGACAATTAGCGAGGGCACAAAAAATGCAAAAGCAGAAAAATTGCATACCGCCTTCCGCAGCTTCTTGATCAGTGCCATCGGCTTCCTCTTCAAACCTCTCTGAAACCTGCAATTAATCAGATGTAGCAAATCAGATCAGAAGTTCTAACAAAAACAGCCACACATCCAACAGAGATATGTTCAGCATTGACATACAAATGTTAACATGTATTAACGCTTAAACTAATCTAATGTCTAAGCACGAACTACAGGTAATTAACTAAGTGTAAGTGACATGCTAAGTAGTAAGTACAACGTTAAACTATAGCTTCAATCCATAAACCATAATGTACTCTCTTAGTCCCTTCATCCCATTTATATAGCACCTTAACTATTGTAAGGAAAAGCATTTTGTAATACTTGTTATCTAGTTTCTTAAATTGTTATTTGTTTGCCCAAGTACTGTTTATAACTAAACTGAAAATTGATACTAGCTTAACATGTAAATGATAAATACATTAACAAATACACTCACTATCTTTGCATAGTTCTTAACTAGGGTATTCTAACATTTTTAAAAGGCTGATAATTGTAAAAATAACATTTCATAGTTACTTATTCAAACTGTAAATCAAACAAAGATTTGATAAGTAGTATTTATAAGTAAAACGAAAATTATAAAGGAAGATGAAATGAATTGATTTAAGATGAAAATGACAGGAAAAATACCTTCTACGAGGACGAGCATTGAAGAGCTTAACGAGCTCATCAGTGGACATATCGAGAAGAGCATCGAGATCAACGCCTCTGTAGCTAAACTTCTTAAACGTTCTCTTCTTTGGCTGTCCACTCGTCACATCGGCTTCAACGTCCGCCTGTTGAAACACAACACAATACAAAACAAAGCAAAATTGAGAGGAAAGAAAAGAGAAACATCATAATAGGCATTGAGATAGCGAAATAAGTAAAACTTTGAGACGGCGGAGATGGTTACCATGGTTGTGGAGATGGAAATCAGCGACCTTCGCGGGCGGCGGAGATGGTGGTCTGTAGGGGAATAGGGTTTTTTGGGGAGTATGAAGAGGATTTGAGCTAGGTTTATGGGTTTTGTGCTAAATGGGCTGTTTGATGGGTCTGGGCCTGAATCACTCGCCCAACATCAAGGGGGCAATTGCACATATAGCCATTCTCGAGGATGCTATTTAAAAGGAATTTTTACATTCCTATACCACATAGGAAACCTTTTTACCCTTCATGTTTAAAGTTTGAGTAAATTACACTTAATATATCAAATTACCAATCCTATACCATACTTAATTAAGCATCTAATTATTGGGTTGTTTTTACTCCTTAATTAAAGGTATCCATATCTAATTAATTTGCAGTTTTTACTCCTTAATTAAAGGTATCCATATATCCCACGTTTCTCTTTTCTAACCCCTCACCCCCACCCACGTTTTTACCCATACCCCACATTCTTTTAACCATTTTTTCCTCTTCTGTAACCAAACAAAATTCCACCAAAATGACCGTAAAATAAGCTAAACATTCCACCCCAAATTCTCTGGAAACTTTCCGTCAATCTCTCCCTTCTTTGAATCGTTTCTTCCTTTCATTTTTTTTCCTATCTTATTCTCTTACTATAATTCTTCTCCTCCGCCAACATTTTTTTTCAACATAAATTGTAGTTTAATTGTAGTATAAATATAGTAATTTTGTAGATACCCTTAAAAACAATACAGCTTTATACAATACTTAAACTGATTTGTAGTTTATTAGTAGTTTTTTGAAGAAATTTTGTAGACGAAGAGAAAATTTTGTAGTCAACATTTTTTCCCAACATAGATTGTAGTTTAATTGTAGAATAAATGTAGTAACTTTGTAGATACCCTTAAAAACAGTACAGCTTTATACAATACTAAAACTGATTTGTAGTTTTTTTGTAGAAATTTTGTAGATGAGACCCATTTGTTAATGTACAATCAATTAATAGTAATTTTGTAGATACTCTTAAAAACAATACAGCTTTATACAATACTTAAACTGATTTGTAGTTTATTTGTAGTTTTTTTGAAGAAATTTTGTAGATGAAGAGAAAATTTTGTAGTCAACATTTTTGTTTCAACATTCATTGTAGTTTAATTGTAGTATAAATGTAGTAACTTTGTAGATACCCTCAAAAACAGTACAACTTTATACAATACTAAAACTGATTTGTAGTTTTTTGTAGAAATTTTATAGATGAGACCCATTTTTTATAATCAGATTTTTTCCATTCAATTGTAGCATGATTGGGATTTTGCATTCTCATCTACCACAATGGCATTAACTTCAAAATCTCTAAATCTGCCATAGTTATCCCAAATCCCATTAAAATTGTAGCATGATTGCGATTTGAACGTGATTTCTTATTGTTGTTGATGTTTTTTTGGATTTCTATATTGAGAGAAGAAAAGATGAAGAACAGATATATATGAGCGACAATTTGAGAGAAGAAACGACGAAAAACAGATTTTATCAACTTTGAGTTGTTGAAACTCGAAAATTTGAATTCTACAATTTGAATTCAGTTCTTCCAATCTGTTCGTAGTTGAATATGTTCGTAATTTTTGTAACTGTTCGTTCTTTTTTTTTTTCTCGAGAATTTGAATTGTAGTTCTGGAGAAAAATACGCAGATGAGAAATCTCCTTTCCCTTTTAAAAATTGAATTTAATGTGGAATCAATTAATACCAAGATTCTCTCCTCAATTTTAGCACGTTTTTAGGGAATATTCTGCCCTTTTAATACCTAATAGACGAATGGTACAAAATTTGTAGGTAAAACGTGGACTGGCGGGTAATTTACATACTATGCACATTTTTTGGTAATAAAGTTTCATATATGGTATAGATAGGAAAAAAATCCCTTATTTAAAAAGGGTTTTGACATGGTATAACAACATACTCATATAATTGGCAGAAAATAGTCCTAGTTATAGATATTGGAATCAAATAGCCAATAAATATATATCACACTAATAATATGTATATAACAACTTTTTTTTCTTCTTTGTCTATACCAACATGTATATTAAAATTTTATTTTCATTCTTTGTATATCAATAATATTATTCTTTGCATATCAATAATATAAAATTATATATATATATATATATATATATATATATATATAATATATATATATATATATAGTTATTGATGTCTTTATATCAATATATATCACAATAAAAATATTGTATTATTTGTATCACAGTGTATAGCATATCAGATATGTGTATACCAAAATAGATATCATAAGTTTATTTTTCTTCTTTGTGTACGTCAAAAATTATTTTCTTTGTATACTAAAATATTATTTACTCCATAATTATATTTATTATTTTTATATTTTAGAAATTGCTTAAACATGCTATATCAAAAATTTATGTTCCTTTTTTGATCAATAATTAATAATTATATTATTTGTATATCACAGTGTATAACACAGTAATAATGTGTATTTCAAAAAAAAATTATTAAAATTTTATTTTCCTTCTTTCTATAACACATTTCGTATTTGAAAACTCAAGTTCAAGACAACTCCACATGTGTATCCCCTATTATAACCCGTGTATATCTCTATGTACATCAGTGATATCTCCTGTATATTATGTGTATCTGTGTATATCCATAAAAATTTGTGTTATATGTACGATATACAATGTGATATACACGGGCGTCCATAAAAAAATTGTGTTGTATACCGATATACAAGGTGATATACACATACGTCCTTAAAAACTTGTGTGTGATATACATTGATGTACTATACAACGTGATATACACATGTCGTAGTTGGATTTTTAGGTCTGATTTTTTGCCTGAAACCAGTCTAAATCACTTCTATTCTTGCTCAGATTTGTGTATAGCCTCGTTTAGGTATTTTCAACCAAATTCAATTACGCCTACTCATTCAATCCAACCAAAAAAAGGAAGAGAGAAGAAAAACAAAGTTGAAATATATTTTTTCACTCTTAGTTTTTGTTAATCTTGCTCAAATTTGGTATATAGTCTCGTTTAGGTATTTTCAACCAATTTCAATCACACCCACTCATTCAATCCAACCCAAAAAAAAAAGAGAAGAAAAACAAAGTTATATTTTTTCTCTGTTAGTTTTTGCTTCTGATTTTCTCGGATGTGAGATCAACCTTACCTTTTCATCCCACTGAATTTTTTTGCATAATTTGCAAGAATATTTGCTTAACTATGAGAGCAAAAGAGAAGAGATAGAAGAAGAAATACAAGGAGAGAAAGGGGGAGGGAAGCCAAAATAAGCGTGTAGTTTTTTTTCTAGAGAGAATATAAAAGAAAGTAGTTTTTTTAGGATTTGGCTATATAATGCCAATTGTTTGGTGCTATCTTTGCCAAACTATAAGGCTAAAAAATTATCAATTTCTATTGTGGATTGTTATAGGATGCCAATTTTTCATTTAAAAATTAGCCAGTAATTATTTTATCCTTAAATTTTAAACGAAAAATCTTATTTCAGTACAATTCAAAATATTTTTATCTCGAAAAAATAAACTGAGAAACTAAAAATCATGACGCACTAGATAATTCCTAGATAGCAATCTTTTAGAGTAGCTACCTGGTGTAATTTCTGCAACAAATCAATGGGGAAAGATTGTGGGATCTTTATACAAATAGTCTGTCGAATTTACAGTTTATATTTTCTAGCCATATATTGATTTTACGTGATTATATACATATAATCAGACTTCTTTATAATAACTATTATGTAAAACAACATTCACTATAATGGTTAAGTTTACTTGGAAATTGATTTTCATGTTATGTTATATTTTATGTTCTCTATAACAATATTTCGCCACAGCATCCAAAAAATTTTCGGATAATTAACTTCATTAATTATAAAGACGTTTGGTTGTATTATGCATAAATTCAAAAGAGGATTCAGAAGTTGAACCTTATGGCTTCCTAGTGGTCTCCAATTAATATGCAATAATAACCAGATAAAAAAAGAGAACTAATTGGATAGAAGTGATACTTTCAGCTACTAAATTTTATTTGGTTGGTCTGTATTTAAATGAAAGTATCGGTGTTGTTTTGGGGGGAAAACAAAAGTGAAGTTAAAAAGTGCATCATGGGATTCCAACTCTCATATAACTTATTCAGGATCATAGCTTAAGTTGGTTCCTCCTTTGCCACATAACCAACAAGTGATTTTACTTCTAACTTCAAAGATAAAAATAGTTATACATTTAATGGATTTTTCAATACAAACACCGCAAATGGCAAGATATGCTTTCATTTTCCTCAACTGAATTTTGCACGTATTTGAACTTTTAATATTGAGTTTTTTAGAATGTCAGTAACCATTTCAACAAAATTCATGTGATTATTGGGATATTCATTTATTTCCCAAACCCCAAATGTGAAATTATACAAGAATTATTGTTATTGTATTGATTCATTAGGTGAAGTATGACAGCAGTTGAAGCAATAACATTGACACTAATAGAGTTTTTTTTTGCTTAAAAAACAAATATGTTACTATTCAAACTTATATATGACAATGACAATGAGCACAAGTCATACTCCTAAAACAAACCCTAACACTAAATAACAATCCTAAAAAACAACACCAAAAGAGCCAAATAAAATAAAATAAAACAAATTAAAATTGATAACACTAGATAAACTGTAAAAAAATGTACAGCGATTCAACACCCCATTAAACCTAAAATGACTAAAATACCCCTAACACCTCTTCATTTCTTGGCTTTCTTCGCCGGTGACTTAATACTCTTCGGCTTCTTCGCAACCTTCTTCGCCGGAGTTTTCTTCACTTTAGCAACCGCCGGTTTCTTCACCGGAGTTTTCTTCACTTTCGCTGGAACAGCAACCGTCTTCTTCGCTTTCTTCGCCGGCGTTGCTACTTTGGCCTTCTTCACCACAACCTTTTTCTTCGGAGCAACAGCTTTAGTCTTCGCAGCAGCGGCAGCGGCCTTCTTCGGCTTAGTCGTAGCAGCGGGCTTCGGGGCGGCAGGTTTAGCGGCAGCGGGCTTCGCGGCGGCAGGTTTAGCGGGGGCGGCAGCAAGCTTGAAAGAGCCCTTGATTTTAGAGAGCTTTCCAGAAGCAACAAGCTTCTTCAACTGAACTAAAAGTAATTTCCTGAAATTTGAAGGCAAATCCTTTTGCTTTTCCTCAATGAATTTCGCTATCGCAACTTGACTTGAACCAGTTCTCTCCTTTAACGCCGCTATTGCTTCTGATATCATCTGCAAATTTAAAAAAAATAACTAACTGTTTAATTACAATTCTCCTATATATATAAATAAAATAAAAATCATTTATAAAATTACCTCAGCATAAGGAGGATGAGATCTGGGTTTCTTAGGAGCAGAAGTTTTCTTTGCAGCTGTAGACGCCATTGTAGAACAAAACAAATAGCTTAATTGAAGATCACTGAATGCTATGTGCTAATTGCTAAAAGAGAATGATGAATTTTGCTGAAAACTTCGAATGCAATATAAAGGAAAATAGAGAGATCTTATTGGTTTAAAAAAGAGTGACGCGGATCGATATATGAATGAGGAAATGTTTACTATGAGCGGTTCGATTATTAAATTAATTAACGGTTGAGATGAGCTCTGAGGTCTGTCACGCGGATCGAAAGAAATTTGCCTCTTTTTGTTTTTTTACTTTTTATCCCCACGAAAGAAGTAGGGGTTTTGGTGTGTTTTTTGGAAAGGAATTGGAAGTTAAATATTTCGAATTATTGTTTTTTGACTTTGATGAGGTTTGAATCTTTATTTTTAAAAAAGGACTTAATTTACGTTTCTGTTAATCATTTATACTAGTCTTAGGCCCCGTTTGTCTATAAAAGATTTTTTTTTAAATCCAAAAATATATTTATCCATAAAATTTACAAGTTTTTGGAAATTTTTCGAAAATCATTTTCAGAGTTTTCAAAAAAATAAAATCCTCACTCACAAAATTGCAATATTTTTTCAAGTGAAATGTACGTCCAACCATAATTTAAAATTTCAAATATTATTTTCAACTTAACTTCAAATAATACTTTCAAATATATATATATATATATATATATATTTTATGTCCAAACACCTACTTAGAGCCCGTTTGGACATAAAAAAAATTTTACTTTTTTCGAAAAATTTTCACTTTTATTTTGAAATCAGTGTTTGGCCATAAAATTTGCAATTTTCACTTGAAGATGAATTTTAGAATTTTTCGAAAATTTAAAAAACTCCAAAAAGCCGTTCTTCAAAATTTTCACTCATAACACTCACAAAACTTCAAGAATAACCAAAAATTATATTCATCTCCAAACACAATTCTAATTTTCAAATACCATTTTCACTTGAAATTTTTTTCACCTTTTTTTGAAATTTTACAATTCATATGTCCAAACGCCCACTTTGTGCATGTTCTTGATATTAATAATAATAAAGCCTATAAGGCCTGCTACAGCTTGCAACCCGATCCATATAATAATAACATATATGAAGCTAATATGGCCTGCTACGGCGTGCAGCCCGATCCCATAATTATCCTCGCAATCAGGCCATCGGCCTCACTCAATCATCAATCTTTTCAGTCTCTCGGGCTCACAATGTTTAGAAGAGTTACTTACCTCGAACAAGCCAAATCCAATGCCGAGCAAGATAAACAATACTCTAGAAATTCATTCCGCGCGTATCAACCTCCGAACGCCTTCCTATATCCTCAATTCCAAGCCAAATGATTCAAAACTAGTCAAACAACGCACAATTTAATCAAAATATACTCAAATGCTTGCAATTTCACAATTTATAAACAATTTAAACTCCGCTCGAAAAGTCAACCAAAAGTCAACAATGGGGCCCATGTCTCGAAATTCGACAAAAATTACCAAATTCGAACCCCCATTCAACCACGAGTCCAACCATACCAAAATATCTCAAATTCGACCACAACCCAGCCTTCAAATCCTCAATTTAAAGTGTATATAATTCTACCATTTTCAACCTAAAACACAAATTTAATGATAAAAACAACAATAGATTTGGGTAATTTAACCAAAATTGAATTAAGAACTGTTACCCCGATGTTTCCCTTGAAATTCTCCCGGAAATCGCCTCTCCCCGAGCTCCAAATCGTCAAAAATGGAAAATGGGCTTAAATCTGCTGCCCGGCCATTTACCCTATGCGATCGCCGAAAATTCTTCCCGATCGCGAAGCACAAACTTCTATTACACTTCCCAAATTTTTCTCAGATAGCATGTAGTGTATTAGTCATAACATTTTGTACAAAACTCTAAATGACAAATGGTTTGACTTTCTGAAAATTAAACATCAAGGGCTACAACTTTTATTTTTCAAATCTCCAAATTCCTTATAGATTGCAAGTTATAAGCTTCCAAAGTCGGGTTAGTGACATCAGGATTTTTCTCTATGTGATCGCAAAAGGCCTTCTGCGATCGCGATTCACTGGCCAATTTTTTCCATTTTACTCATCGCGATCGCACTGCACACTACTGTAGCCAAAGACCAGCAGCTAATAATGGCCTAGAAATGGTCCGGAACCACCCCGAAACTCACCCGAGCCCCTCGGGACCCCGTCCCAACATACCAACAAGTCTTAAAACATATTACGAACTTAGTCGAAGACTCAAATCAAATCAAACAATGCTAAAACCACGAATCGCACCTCAATTCAAGCCTAATGAAAACTAACAAATTCTAACTTCTACATTCGATGTCGAAACCTATCAAACCAAGTCCGATTGACCTCAAATTTTGTACATAAGTCATAAATGACATAACGATCATATTCCAATTTCCAGAATCCTATTCCGACCCCGATATCAAAAAGTCAACTCCCCGGTCAAACTTCCAAACTTAAATTTCCTATTTTCGTCATTTCAAGCCTAATTTTACTACGGACTTCCAAATAATTTTTCGGACACACTCCTATGTCCAAATCACCATACAGAGCTATTGGAACCATCAAAACTCCATTCCGGAGTCGTTTGCACAAAATTCAAACTCCGGTCAACCCTTTTCATTTATGCTTCCAACATGAATTTCATTCATCCGAACTAATCCCGAAACACCTGAAAACCAAATCCGACAATACACACCGGTCATAATACATCATATGAAGCTATTCAAGACTTTAAATAGTTGGAAGGAGCGTAAATACTCAAACGATATTAAATGGATAAAGTTTGCATTGTGGTTAAGCCAAATGGCAAACTACGTAAAGCCACCTGGCATTTTAGGAAAATATTTATAACAACACCTAATCTAAATTGGAAGATAATTTTTTTTAAAATTTAAATGGAAAGATAGTAAAAAAGATTCTTTTGAATCTAAATGGAAAGAGTGAATATTTTTCTAAATATACTACCTACTGCCTTATCTTTAACTAATGAGATTTTTTCTTTAAAAAGGTTGAATTGAGAGATAAAAATAATACCTTTATTATAACTAATTATAAAGATAAGGTTGGAATATTATCAGCACATATGTAACGATCTGACCGGTCGTTTTGAGCATTTACGCCCCTTTCAACTATTTGAAGTCTCAAATAGCTTTATATGATGTATTATGACGTGTATGAATTGTCGATTTTGTTTTTAGGTGTTTCAGAATATGTTCGGAAGAATGAATTCCATATTGGAAGCCTTAAGTTGAAAGAGTTGACCAAATTTGACTTTTTAGTATTCGACCTTGGAACGGAACTTTGATGATTCCGTTAGGTCCGAATGGTGATTTTGGACTTGGGCGTATGCCCGAAATTTAATTTGGATATTTCTAGAATGTTTGGATGTTGTTTCTTCAAGCATAAATGGTAACATATTAAGCAAATCAGCTCCAAATTCAATTTTGATTGAAGCATTAGATCCGTATTGAAATTATGGAGTCATAGCAAAAAGAATCATCGAATTCAGAAATTTTATGAGAGAGTTATACGTATTTCTGTGTCGGGAAAGACTGTTGTTTTCTTGGGGCAGAGGCGACTCGCAGCTGTCAAATGCGACTTGTCTGGACAGATTCTAAAAACGGGGGTTTCAGCCATTTTAACACATTTGGAGCTATGGAGCTCGGATTGAAGCGATTTTTGAGGTGATTTTCACCATATAGATTGGGGCAAGTGATTCTAACTCGGTTGTGGTTAAATTATACGAATATATTGTTGATTTTATCATTAAATTAATGTGGGTTGAAAATGGTAGAAAATTTCATAGATTTTAATTGAGGATTTGAAGACCGAGTTGCGGTCTAATTTGAATGAAATTAGTATGGTTGGGCTCGTAATTGAATGTGCTGTCTGATTTTGTGAGTTTCGTCGGGTTCCGAGACGTGGGCCCCACTGTCAACTTTTCGAGCGGAGTTAGGAATTTTTATAAATTGTTAAATTGTAAGCATTGGAGTATATTTTGATTAATTTGTACGTTGTATGACTAGTTTTGAATCGTTTGACTTGGAATTGAGGAGATATGAAGGCGTTCGGAGGTTGATACGCGCGGAATAGAATTTGCGGAGTATTTTTTTATCTTGCTCAGTATTGGATTCGACTTGTTCGAGGTAAGTGACGCTTCTAAACTTGGAGCTGAGGGTATGAACCCTGATTATACACATTATGTGAATTGTTTGGAGGTGGTGCACATGCTAGGTGACGGGCGTGTGGGCGTGCATCGTAGAAATAGAGACTCAGTCGATTCCGTAGAGCTGCATAGTCAATTAACTTGAATTTTTCCATGTATTTTCACGTGTTAGAGAAACTGAGTTGTGACTCATGTTAAAAATCATGCTTAGGCAAATGTTGGTACTATTGGGACCCACCGAGGTTATTTTTACGGTCGAATTATATGTTTAAATTGTAATTTTGTACTCAGTCATATACATTCATTGCATATCATATCTCAGTATCTATTGTTATTTATTGATACATCGTATCAGCATTTTGGGCTAGTTTCATGACATTGTAAGCCCGAGAGACTGGATAGATTGATGACCGAATGAGGCCGAGGGCCTGATTTTGAGGTTATTGATACTATAGTACGTGAGTTGTCCGCGCAGCACGTGGGTTGTCCATGCGGATCCAGATATTGATACTATAACACGTGAGTTGTCCGTGCATCACGTGAGTTGTCCGTGCGGATTATAGCGCTTGGACTGAAGGAGTCTCTTCGGAGTCTGCACCCCCCACAGTGAGCACAATTGATTTATATTTTTGGGATGGATCTTCCATGGGCATGGATCTTGCCCGAATCATTTATTATATTTGGGATGGAGTTCCCTGGGCTGGATTGGCTTTGTACAGTATTGAGTGACTGAATGTCAGTTATTATATATATACATGGGATGGAGTACTATGAGAGTGTGAGTGCATGCTTTCATCATTGTGTTGCATTGTATTAGACATGCATACTTTATATGTAGCATAGAGAAGTATTTTTCCTCATGCCATCTGATAATTAAATTTCTTATCTGTCGTTAAAG